CTTCCGACAGCGATACCGACAGCTCTGAAGAGGACCGAAAGAGACGCAGAAAGCGAAGACGAAACAGAAGAGACAGAGAGAATACTAGCAACAGGGGTACTAATAACATCTTGACTGTGGAAAGTATTTCACTTTCTGGACTTCTCAACGCCATTGACGGTGTTGCTTCGCATGAAGGTCGCATCCTCATCATGACCACCAACAAGCCCGAGTCCCTCGACGAGGCTCTCATTCGACCTGGAAGAGTCGATGTGCAGGTTGGGTTCAAGAACGCAACCAGCGCACAGGCATCGGAGCTCTTTTACCGGATGTACGAAATGTCGCGTAACAAGCCAGTCCCTATGTCCAAGACCAAACCTGCCGCATCCAAGGCACAGAATGGCAGTATCCACAGCCTCGTGGATAACAAAGGAAAAGAGACCACTCTGTCGATCGAAGAACTCAAGGAGATCTCGCAGGAGTTTGGACAACTGATCCCAGAGGGTATGTTCTCGCCCGCGGAGATCCAGGGGTTCTTGCTCAAGCGTAAGAAGAGTCCCCGAAAGGCACTTGAGGATGCTTCTGGCTGGATTGAGGCTGCTGTCAAACAGAAAGAGCTCAAATCCAAGGTTGTTACTGTCCAGTAGTTGAAGGACTTCGACAAATGCATCGTCGGGGGGCTGTTTGGAGTTGCATGAGGATGATAATTGCTGGACTTGGATTCTTGCTATAATTTGATGACGGAACACGTAGTCTTAGAGCATAATTAGTAATTCATGAGTCTATGCCTCACTTTCTTTAATTAAAGTTCTTGCTTTTGTTTTGCAGATGTTGATGAATATTTCAGTGTAGTTGTGATTTGACTTATCAAGGTGAACTCTCGGTGTAGCTCGGTCAGCACCTCAGTCTCCACATATGTCACCTCCTCTACCTAAGGTACCTTTCCAAACAAGCCCACGTTTACACGTGCGACAACGAGCCTCCAAGCACGACAACCACGCTGGATATATTTCGCCTACGATCTTTTACAAACACTCCATAGAACATTAGAAGCTGCGAAATGCTCCAGCGACAGCCTCACAGCCCATCATGAGCAACCTCCAACCCCCCAACACCGTAGCGCCAACGCCTACGCCAAGCGGCAGCAAAGACCCTGGCCTGCGATACCCCAGCAATGGAAAGAATATCTACAGTCGCCCGTTGAATAGGACCAAGACGGCTGAGCTGAGCCAGGCGAGCTTTGCGTATCTGTTTGGCGAGATGGTGACGTATGCGCAGAGAAGGGTCAAGGGCATTCAGGAGCTTGAACAGCGGTACGTTAAATTCTCCCTGTTTATGAAGCGCGGAAGCTAATTATGCGCAGACTTAATCTCCAAGGCCATTCCATCGGTCTAAAACTCCTCGATCTTCTCCTCTTCCGCGAACCAGCGCGCACACAGACCCGACCGCTAAGCATCATTGCCCTCCTCCACTTCATAAAGCAAAATATCTGGCAGCACCTTTTCGGCCGTCAAGCAGACCGACTTGAGAAATCCGCCAACCCCGAAACACCAGAGGAATACATGATCATCGATAACGAACCTCTTGTCAACCAATACATCAGCGTGCCGAAAGAAATGAGTCAGCTGAACTGCGCTGCCTACGTAGCGGGTATTGTGGAAGGTGTCTGCGACGGAGCTGATTTCCCGGCCAAAGTCACAGCGCATACAGTTGCGGAGGGTGATATGTGGCCTGGCAAGACTGTTTTTCTCGTCAAGTTTAGGCCGGAAGTACTGGAGAGGGAGGGATTATTGGGGAAGAATTAGGTGGTGAGGCTGGAGTTTTGGAGTTTTTATGATGGGATGGGTCTCATAAAGACGAATTGTGTCTTTGGCGATGTGATATCATGCCTGATTTAATATTGAACCATTCTGCCATGCTGCTTCTCTATAGTCATTTTACGCCCAACGCCTTGCCCAAACAACAACGACTACAATGTGTATCCCATTCATCGCGGCAGAGCACTTCCAGAGCCCTTCGGCCTTCCACCAGTTCCAATACTAGGACCCTTGTTCATGAGCTCCGAAAGACCCAGGTCCTTCCAAGCAGGCTCCTTTGACTTCTGCGTAGCGCGCTGAATTCCAAACGCGGCATGTTGATCAGGCACGACATCGTCTTCGTCTTCCGGGTTGATGGGCTGGTGAACGGGTGGAACGTAGATCTCGTCATCGGGGAGCTTGTCCTTGCAGAAGTCCTCGAAGAGGTCTGCGTCGCGGGAGCGGTGCATGTGAATGAACGTGAAGGATGAATCTTTGTTCTGAAAGTGTTAGCTAGGGTAGAAGTGCTTAGAGCAAGGGGTATTTACCATTTTGAAGGATGTCAGGGTATCTTGAATGGTTTGTTTGTTGATGTTGAGGATCGGTTGGTTTCCACAGCGGGACGGATGGCGGGGTGTGGGGCCGTAGTGAGAGCTCTGGCAGTTGGGTTAAGTACGCCTCGGGGAGCAAGAAAATATGGACCGGACCTTGATATAGGGTGTCAAAATAAACCTAGCAAAGAGCCCCGTAAGCTTAGGCTAGATTTACCTAAATATTTTTACTGCTTAGGGTCAAGGGCCTGTATTTTCTTTTCTCCCCTAGGTACGGTATGGTATGGCAGTTCGGAGATCTAAGTTTCAATTATGTCGGATATATAAAGCTGTAGTAATGCCGTACTTAAGTGATTCTATGTTATTCGTGTCACTGGCTTCCGCCTGAGGTTCTTTAGTCTTTTTACTTTGTAGGCGGCCTTTGTACTAAGTTAAGTCACTAATTAAGGTGTTAGCCACAGCCCACCTACCGTGGGTTACTGGCCGAAATATCTCTGCTTCTGCATCATCTTCAAAACGTGTCGGCTTGACGTTCACGGTCCGCTCTCTAAGCTTCAACTTGCAATTTTCACTACCTATATACTAGACTTATTCCCTTACTGGATCCGACAGCCACTATTTCAAAGCGCTCATCATGGAGACGTCAGGCGAGCCACAGCCTCCAAATGAGGCACAGCCTGCAAGCGTGCCACAACCTGTACTAACACCAAGACTGCCCCTCGACATTCTATATCACATCGGATCTCTTCTGGCTGCCGAGTCCGTCACTGAGCATGAACACCAACTAGACAGCAACAGTTCGTGCGACTGCTGCATGGACAAGTCGTCATCTACGCTTTATAAACTGACGTATACCTCCAAAGCCACCAGGGATGTCTTGGAACCCTTGCTCTATCGGAATCTCATCTTGACAACCCCCCAGGAAGTCACAAACATATTCATCAATCTCATTCAAAGACCCGAGCTTCGCCAACATGTTCAGTACATTCTTTGCTATGCTGAAATGGTCGGACTACGGGTCAGGAGACTTGAAATGCCTGAATGCAAGAAGATTTGGTCAAAGCGATGTCCTTCTGACAAACCTGCTCTGATGCGTCTTCTCGATGGCGCTGGTCTTCACAAACTCGCTTGGTCGGCTTGTATGTTGGAGCGAACAAAGCAGCGATTCATGTTTTCTCCTGATTTTAAGCATGATGGCATTCTGGAACTGCTATTTGCCTCTATTCTCTTCATGTCGACAAACGTTACCAGCTTTACCTGGCGAGATTGCAACAACAACCCAAAGGCCTTCATCCTGGATCACATAATGTGCAAGGCGGTACACGATGGCCTTCCTCTCATGCCCAAGCTGCAAAAACTCAGCACCGAAAAGGCAGAGTTTGAGGAGAGCAAGCAAGCACAATTCTTCACCCCGCACATCAATCTGTGGGAGAACCTGTACACCCTGCAACTCAACGACATTGACTTGGACATGGAGTTCGTTTTGATGCTTTTTAATGGAAGTTTCAAGGAGAACCGGCCCGTGAGAGAACTTATCGTCCGCTGTGTGGCTGGTTCAGAGCGACCAGAGAGCTTGACCTCGTTCCCACCAGGTTTCGAACTGGCATCGACAATGCTCCTAGGGGACAAGAACCTCGATACTTACAAGGGCCAGTTCAAAGCCTTCCCTAACCTCAACGTCCTCGATGTCACTTTTGTCTTCCACAGGGGACGCATGGAAGAAGGTTCACTCACTTTGAAGGCTTTCCTACATGCCGTTGGGTCACCCGAGCGCTTATGCCTATCGGGCCATCCCCTGCCAACTTCGACGTTAGACACTGGCGTCACACACTCGAGGCTCAAATACCTTAAAGTCCGGGAATTTCAGCCCAATGCCCCTGCAAAGACAACATCCAAGGATAACCTTATAGCGGGGCTTAACCAATTCTGGAACAAAAAGTCCATGATCGTGCCGAACCTTGAGGAGATTGACTGGGATCACTACAAATTCAAGAGAGAAGACATGGCGGGCGAAGATAAAGCTGTTTGGGAACTTGTTGGAGAAGAGGAGTGGGAAGATGATTCGGGCTCTGATGAAGACGAAGATGAAGATGAAGAAGCGCTTTGGTACTCTATGGGAAGAGGTGATATAGATGCATTTGTAGAGAGTGCAATGGATGTGGAAGACATGTGGGATGCCTGGGGACCTTAGAGTGGGATCCGGTACTTCTGAAGATTTTGTAATCTACATCTACGCGCCTACGGAGAGACGAACGGTTAACAAATTAGACAGATTACCATTGATCATGTAGAAGACACAATTGTTAAAGACTTCAGCTATCTGTGAGATCTTAGTAACTCCCGAGTCTCATATGCCTTTTGTAGCGACCTTGTGATACATGTCTGAGGTAGTCTCATGCCCGAGACATTTAGACGGCCTCAAATAGAATTGTTTCGGGATCATAGACCCGAAACTTGATAGGAAAAGCCAAACTGGATTTCTGACGCATTACAAAAGACTTGAGAGCCTGATGTAAGAAAAAGCCAAACTGAAATTTTGTTGGACTGCACAGTCAGTAGATCACGCAAAGGCGCTTGGAGGCACTGCGCAGAGCACAAGGTGAAGTTTCGCTGCCTTGAAGATGGCTTGTCTTCCAGTCTTTAAACGCCAGGCAAATCTGGTAACTTCGAGTTCTCAGTTCGCATCATCCTCACCGTCATCGTCATCGTCATCGTCAACATCATCATCATCAGGAACTGGAGGTCCAGCCGGAGTGCCTGGGGCCAAAGCATTCAAGGCTCCAGCTGTCGACAAATCAATGGCAATTTGAATAATATTCGGGTGCGAGGCCTCCATGGCTACAAGAAACTGTTGCAGTAGTTCAGGCGTTTCTATCTGCTGAAGGGCATTCTCCAAGTCTCCCCGGGGCAAGCTGTTCAGCCGATGGAGCATATTCACTTCAGCAGACATAGTCCAGGAGTCAAAGTTGAAGTATCCTGTTTGACCACGGTTCTTGAGGTAAACCTTCTCCTGGCAGGACATGAGCAATCGGTCAGTAGCCATATGGGAATCCCATTTAGCCAGGGGCTTCCAGGTAGCGTGGATTGGGTGGCTTGCGTCGAGGGTGAAGCCGGATTCATTGTGATGCTCAATTCTGATATTGATAAATTCGGCCTTGTCAAACATGTCAATGTCCCAGAAGACGTACCCCCAAGGAAGTGGCTGGTAAGGAGTAACTTCGCCATCGAAGTCGTTCAGGAAAATTGCATAGCGACTTAGGATATGCCACGCGTTCTCTGGTCCGGGGTCGGGATCTTTGATGAAAGGAGTACGCATGATGAAGTCTGGAGTGTCCATCCGTGCCCACTTTCCCGGAGTCCCCTCGTAGTCGTGGACAACACAGGTGAGCTGCTCGTCGTTACCAGGGAAAGGAGGTCTGGTTGGCAGATGGGGGTTCCAGTCAATGGGTGGATTAATACTTCGCATAACTTTTGCTCTCTCGATTCGCGACCCAGCAGTGAGAAAGTCTTTCAGAAAGGGGAGGCCTTGAGCAATGAGACTCATTGACCCAGGGCAGAGGGCATGGCTGATGTAGTATGGCAGCTGGGTACCCAATTCAATATCTCGTTCGAGAAAGGTATTGAAAGCTGGAAATATTAGCACCATGTGTAATAACTATTGGTGAGGGGACTTACAAGGTGCGATTTCGATAACCAAGATGCCACAGATGCTGGTCAGCTGCTCAATCTCCACGGCAGAGTACTGGTTGTGAAAAGCTTTGAGAATACGATGTTCCTCCAACTCATGCAGGCAATGAACCCAGTGAGCCTCCTTACGCTCCTCTTCGGTCGGGGTTCTGTTCTTCCCATGATTGTCGTGTAGGTGCGAGGCAATCATGAGCTTCGTGATGTTCAAAAATGCGTCCAAGCGATACAAAGTACGCTGAAAGCGCACACGAACGTTAGTGTTGATAGAAAATGCATCTTTGTACTTGACGACCGGATGCTTCTGAATGAGAGACGAAGGAAGGCGCTCTGCAAAGTATTCGACCGCTTTATGAAGGCGCCACATCTGCTTGACCCGGTCGAACGTGAGGAACTGGCTATAGATACGGTGCTGTTCACTCGAATAGACGCGATTGATAGCCTTGATACCAGCCTTGAGACCCTTCCATTTTGCCATTTTCATGTTGTAGGTCACGGTGGCTTCCCGATAAACGGGTTCCTCCATGGAGTTGAAGAGGACGCATGATGCGATGTAGGCTGGACGTTGCTTGAAAACGCTGTAAAGCTTCGGACCGGAGAGCATGGCCGCACGGATAGAGGCTCTGTCGGGGATGAAGGAGAGGGCATAGGAGAGAACTTCTAGAGGAATCTTCTCAATGGGAGACGTCCCGCTGTCGCTCGCATCCGAAGCCATGTCGATGTCACTCGTATCTGAAGCCATGTCGATGTCGCTCGCATGCGAGGTCATGTCGATGTCGCTGGAGGACTCCATTGAGGAGCCTAGCTTGGAAGGATCCGACATCGTGCGAAATCAGAGAGAAGATGAAGGAGACTTCAAAAGAAAAGTTACCAGGAGAGAAGGGATAAAGAGGAGTTGGCGGAATTTGTTTACTGTCAGGTGTTTGTCCGTGAATCATACCGCAGATGACTTGGCAGTTGCCAGCGGTGTTTGCAGCTGCCTTGACAAGCAGCTCGCCTTGGGCAAACTTCGTCTACTTTGAGCAGCGAACAATCTTACAAGAATTTTCTCATAGAATTGTAGAGATGTTGTTGGGTTGTAGAAGGTTGCCGTTGACGTCAAGCTTTATCTTTGTCGTTTTGTGTAACCTCACTGCTAACGACCCGATCTGTTTGGTTGCAAAACCACGGATAGAAGTTGGGCTGCTGGCTAATAAAAAGCAGTTTCACTGAATCTGCAGAATTAGTTCCTTGCGAAGTATTTATTATCTGGTCCAATATGTAATGGTCCTGATGTTGCTCCCAAAGCCCAGAAATGGATTAGAAGATCCCCTCACTTGGTCTTTTAGCCGCTGCAGGCTTGTGCACCAGTACCTCCATCCTTTAGTACTGTGGCCCCAAGTTCTCCTCCTCTCACCTCGATGCTTCTAGCCATGTGTGTAACCAAGATGTACAATCAACCTATGAACTGCCAAGACGGTCCCAAAGCAAATTCCTTCGTGACCAAGTGCCCATGCATCGGTTACCTCAAAAGTTATCACCGTACTTCCACGCCGGTTCTGTAATGTATGCATACCAGGTGTGATTGTGTGGAGTGAAAAAGGTGCGCTGGATTCCCAAATGACACAATGACCCAACTCCCCAGTTTCCAATCTCCCGAAACTCGTCAAATTGAATTGGGGCTTTTATAGGGTCGTAAGATTCCGTGGTGACTAGGCTGACTTTGCAGGATCTGAACAACCTCCCCCTGGCATTGTTCGTCTGGATATTAGTGAGTGTAGGATCATGAACCATTTCCTTGAGAATCTTTTCACAGTCTGATCGAGCGGCTGTGGTGTTTGTCCCGCATCCCCAATAGTATGTGCTTGAGTTGTAGGATGGGCTCCAACCCGGGTTGTTGTGACGCAGAAAGTTGGCGCTGGTGAGAGATAGAAGAGACATGAATGGCAATGGGAACCGCATTGTGGCAGATGGACCTGGTTTGTGTTCTTGAGATTGAATGTGACGTGGTAGCTTTGTGAATGAGTTGGATTATAATTGAGGAGAAATTGCTTGCTGAGATGAGCGATTTCCCTTTGTCATAGGGAAGAGAGTCCCTTTGTATACACCTTATTCACATTTGATTCACCTCATATCTCTCATGTACATGATCACTGTATAGTTGCCTATGGCTAGCGTGACTAGTCGTGTGAATCGCAGTATGAGAAGATGCGCATCAATGCTCTGATTCACTAGTGACTGGAGCTCAAAGTGAATTATGAGGCTTCCTGATTTATTTGCATGTTCTATTGAACATCTTCAACGATAGATCTGTTGTATGCTTGGTGAATGGTAGCTAGATTCGGTTTAACTTAGTCATAGTGTTCTCTCAATATGACAGTGACGACTGAGCGAAGGTCTTGAAGAGATTTTGGGGTTGGGTGAAACTCCCGCAGCACTAAGGCCACTTACAAAAGGACACAGTCACATGCATATTCTAAGTTTCGTCCTAGAAGCTAGCATAAGAAATGATGGACAAGGTCAAACTCATATTACTGTACTTTCAACCAACCCCTGAGCCCTTAAACGTTTGCTACGAAAAATTCTTGGGATAATAAGTAGTTGATCAAATAAGTATCTCAGAATTAACCGAAATAAGGATTTGCTCTTTCTCTCAAAACCCATACTTAGGCTCCCAGCCCTTCTCTGTTAGAAAGGCAGTCCAAGTGTTGTTGTGTGGTCTAGCCATTACCCGGGACCATTCATCCTGGCATTCGCGCGTCATCCCCCGATTTATAACATCAACAAATTCATCCTGCTGTATTTCGAGGGCAAAGTGCCCGAGAGGTCCAGTCATAATATAGATCTGGCAAGAACCCCAGTACTGGGTTAAGTGATTGGCTTTTCCAATACCAAACCAGCCCGTTTTGGAAGTATCTTTCATCCAATGAAGGAGCTTGCTACAGTCCAATGAATTGTATGGAGCTGTCTGTTATATGTTAGTAGAGAGGAAGCCTTCAATATTGCTGAGAAGTATCCCACCTTGCCACATTCCCAATTATATTCGCCCTCATGACTTGAGGGGTTGCGAGACACAGGATTCGCGGTCGCGAGCGAGAGGAGGGAGACCAAGGCTAGGATGAGGCGCATGTTTTAACCGGGTAGGTCTGTGTTAGAGTAATTTGAAGTGATAATCGTGGGGGGTGCCGTATAGTCAGAAGGTCTTGGGGACATGAGAGAACCGACATGTTCCAAGAGAGTGCTCCTTATAGGCAATCCATCGTCCCCATCCAGTCGTCAAACGCTGCTATTAGAAGCATCATCACTGTTTACAACTTGGCGAATAGCTGTTGAAATTGCTTTGAATGGTAACCAGACGTTCGAGCAAAGATTTGCTTTGAATTTTCAGCACTACAATTGGTAGTGATTATGGCAAGCATCTGTCCCAGGCGAAGGCAGTGAATGATGTCTAACAAGCACAGTCCTTAGTAACAGTCAACCAGCTCCTGCAGAGCTCGTTCAGTGTAAAGATTTGAGTGTATCAGACAAATCATTTGAAGGACCATTGGCTGACCTGGACTCATACTATTGTGCATTTTATTACATGTAGTTCATCAAAACCGTGATAATCCAAAGGGAGTACCCTATAGACGTGCAGTCGTTGATCGGTACGGATTAAAGAAACGCCGACCCACCACCGACGATCGTCCCTCCCCCGACTGCGACGACAGCTCGGATGTCATAGCGGGGCACCACCTCGAGAGCTCCGACCTTCTTCCGTCTGCCTAGAGGAAGCTCAAACTCCCAATCTTCCATTGTACCAATCAATCCGAATAGCATTTCTGTTACTTCGAGTTCATTATCATTGACTTGTAACGCATCAAGATCGTATCTTCTACTTCTACATTATCAACTTCCTCAATACCCCTCCATCCGTTACCCCGCGCTTATGATCTGAAGCCATCAAGCTCACACCATCGTGAAGCTCGCTCAGTATGGCTTCTGGTCAAATCAGTGCCACGCCGCAGGCGGTGATGGGCCACGTTACGAAGCTCAGTGATAATGACCCCGACTTCCGTTTCATGGCCCTAAACGATTTACTTCAACTCCTGAATATCGCCAAACCGGACTTTCTTCACCACGACTATAATATCGCCGCTCGTACTGTTGATAGTCTCATCAAGGTCTTGGACGATCAAAATGGTGAGGTGCAGAACCTTGCAGTGAAGTGGTATGTTAAGCGAAAATCCAATCTATGAAGTGCTAACGGCAATCAGCCTGGGCCCGTTTGTGGGCAAGATTCCGACACCCGTTATCGCTCCCTTGATCGAGAAGCTCTCGTCTCTGAAGCTTAAGAACTCCGTGGACAATGCTGTTCCCTCACTTGCACTGCGAAATGTCATCATAGCTCTCCCTCGACCAGTCCCAGGCATCCCAGCATCACACGATGTGCAGGAAGCATATAGCGCCATCAGCCGCGTATTGATCCCTCGGCTCATTGGGCCCGGCCCCAAAACCCAAGTTCCGAAGAACCCCAAGGTCCCTCTCCCTCCTGTCCCCGAGGGACTCCTGCAAAATGAAGGCGACCTCAACGCAGAAGCTGTCGATGTATTGATTGAGGTTGTCCGATGCTTTGGACCTATGCTCGTCCAGGTTGAAGTAGAGGCTATGCAAGAGGTTGTTATTCAGCTACTTGAAAGCGAGAAAGGCACATCAGTTGTCAAGAAGAGGGCTGTCGTGGCTATATCTATGCTCGCGGTCTATCTGTCCGACGAGCACCTGGAAGAAGTAGTCGGGCGAATCACCCTCGGTCTAACGAAGCAAATCAGCCCTGTTACCAGAAGATTATACATCTCGATCCTCGGTAGTATGGCCCGGTCGATTCCCTCACGATTTGGACCCCATCTTGCCGGTACTGCACCCTTGATTATTAATGCACTTAGTGAGGAGGAGCTTCAAGAACATCTCGATGCTCTTAGCGACGGAGACGACCTTGGGCAAGATTTCAACGAGGTCCGAGAAGCTGCTTTGGTAGCCCTAGATGCCTTCTTGGCCTCATGCCCTCAAGAGATGCGCCCGTTTACAGATGAAACCATAGAAGCCTGCCTGCGGTATCTCAAATATGACCCCAACTACAACGTGGATGACGAGGACGAGGATATGGAGGATGAAGAGGAAGACGAAGAAATGGACGAGGACGACGAATTCGATGCCGATGATGGCTTTGAGGACGACGATGACGATGCCAGCTGGAAGGTTCGACGGTGCGCTGCAAAGACCATCTACACAGTTATCTCAACACGTGGTAGTGGTGACCTGCTTGAGAACGGTGTTCTTTACAACCAGACAGCACCTCATCTTGTCAAACGTATCTCTGAGCGAGAGGAGAACGTACGCCTTGAGATCATTTCGGCACTTTCGCTCTTGGTTCGCAAGACCGGTGAAGGACTTCCCACTACAGACCTCTCCCTAGATGATCTTGAGCCAGAATCCGAGACCCGCATCCCCATCAGCCGGAAACGGAGACGTCAGAGTAGTGGTGGAGGAGCTTCTGCGTCCCAATTCATGTCAGGATCTGGACTGGTTTCACCCGTTTTGGAGAAAATTCCTCCTAGCGGTCCACGAGCTGACTTGGCTCGCCTTACACCGTCTATCGTTAAGGCAATTACCAAGCAACTCAAGGGCAAAACTATTCCTACCAAGCAGGCAGTCATAAAGCTCCTGGATGACATAGTTTCAGTTCAACACGGCGGATTGGCTGAGTACTTTGATCAAGTCATTGGGCCTATAATTGAGGCTATTCAGCCCGCTGGTGCTGTAACCGCCTCGACTCAAGTAGCGTCCCATTCCGGCTCCTCCTCAGCA